TCCTGTGTTTTGTATTGGGAGGAAGACGGGGGACGAGCGGTAATACAAAACCCTCCTTAACCCTCTCTTGATTGTGTGGCAGCTGTGAGTAGCACATGTCCCCATTGTCATGAGCAGCCTTCGGATTATTTTAACTTATGCCACCTGGTAATGGCCACAAGGGACCAAAACTGCAGCTGAGGATCAGTTCAGAAAAGGGTCTCCTGGCTCTACCCCTGGCCTCCAGGCCCTTCTCCTATGCAGGAAGCGGGGGCGGAGGGGCGGAGAAAGGATTTGACACCATCTAAGGAACCATTTCACAGTAGTGAAATGTTCCCGGGGCCACATATCCAGGCCAGAATCTGCTAGAGGCACAGCACAGAGTGGCTGCACTTTCCTATACCTCAGGATCTGGTGCATTTGTGTTAAAATAAGTGCTTAGGGATACAAATGGTGTGATATTGTGAGTACTGCTGTTTCTATGGAGTACGGGCCCGCAAACAAAGCAAGGAGAAAGTATGACCCAGGAATGGGGAATGAGTTGGAAGGGGAAACTGACAGGCTTGGAGTTAAGAGTGGGGATGTGGAACCTGCCTCCTCTGGAGCATATTCCCAACCTGCCAATGTCCCCGAGGGCTGGATGGTTCAGGAGATTGGGAACAGGACATGGAAAAGGGGAGTGCCCTGGTGACTGTAAAATAGAGAGGTAGGACAGCTGGCAGGGCCTCTATGACCAGCCCAGGCATAGATAAGCCAGGCAGAGACTCTACTACAAAAATAGAGAGATTACAGCAGAATGGCAGGAAATGCTGGTTGGATGTAAATGGGAGCTTCCTGGAACCAGTTCATAAGTTAAAACATACAAAAATATACACACGTCTCTATTTGCAGCTCTACCTCCTCTGCCTTCTCATCACTACCTTACCTGGAAGGAAGCATGCAGACAGGATGTGGGGGAAGGGGTCTCACAGGTTTGCTTCCAGTGGCAGTATCTGGCAATGGCAAACTTGTCCCTGCTGTTCCATCACAAGCAGAGGGATGGGAAGCATGCTCAATCCCCACTCTCTGGGCACTGAGGATGTCCTGAGGAATCGTCGACCAGCTCTCCGTACCCCACCCAGGCCACACATCCACAGCTATTGAAATCTGAGGGGCCAATGTGCTAGAACTGGAAAAAGAGAGAGAAATGGCTGATAGTCAGGACTTACTAGCCCAAAGCCCAGGCCGGGAACCCCTGCACCGACACCCCCATGTCCGTGCCCCTCTCCAACTATCATCCCCTGTCCCTGCCTTGCTCCCAAGACTTCTGCAGTCCATCATACCCTACCTATAAAAGCATGTTCAGACCTTGACAGTCCACGTGGTTTACGCTCAAAGGGAGGACATCCTGGGAATCCTGCCCCCAAAAGATCCCTGAGGATCTGTCCATGAGGGGAGCAGACTTACACCCTTAGACTCTCCACCCCCCGACTTAGAAAAGGATTCCCTCTGAGTCATCTCACCTTGTGAGGAAAATCAACAAACTTCAGCCTGGAGAGGAACCGCCTCACTTCCCCACGGCTGATTTTTGGTGTGGTCTCTATCAGCGGCACCATTCGGCTCTGAGTGAGCATGGCCCACCGCAGGCCCAGCTTGCTGACCACTAGGAGGCCCAGCTGGTTTTCGGAAGTAGAGCTTGTTGTCATGGTGATGTAAAATGCATCTTTTTGGAGATCGTTAATTCCAACTGATTGATAAGAAAAGGAGAGAAAATACAGGAGAGCATTGAGAAAATTACCCTTCAGGCAAAAACTTACAGTCTTCACTCTACCAGGATTTCCATTTACTTCAGTGAGTCATGTCTGGAGGCTCTGTCTACATTGCAATCAGAGGTGTGATTGCAGCACATGCACACATCCCCCAACTAGCTTTGGTCTCATTGGCTCCAATAACAGCAGCGGTGAAGCACAGGCTAGCCGCTTGAATACACACACAGGGTCCCACCTTGTGCTGCCACGGTTTCATTGCTACTGATGCTGGAGTTAGCTGGATCAGAGCTAGCTCAAGTGTGGCTTCATGTGCTGCAGTCACACCTCTGACTCTGCAGTGTCGACAGACCCTGAGTAAAGATTGTGGATCTTTAGGCTCCCATATATTTGGATCTTTCTATTAAAAAATCTTGAAGATAAAAATCTGCAGAAGAAATAAATTGCAATGCGGATAACAATATGAAGTTTGCAACTCAACTAGCATTTTTGAGTCTCATGCTGGCAGCTAAACACGCTTACATAATGTAACGGGCCTATACTGCGGATAACAATATGAAGTTTGCAACTGAACTAGCATTTTTGAGTCTCATACTGGCAGCTAAACATGCTTACATAATGTAACGGGCCTATAAAGAGCCTCCCATGCCCACATCTTAAGGCACCTTACAAACATTAAATACCCTCTGCATTCTAGGAAGGAGGCATTTTAGAGAGACAAGATGGGTGAGAGTATCTTTAATTGGACCAGCTTCTGCTGGTCAGAGAGACAAGCTTGTACGCTTAAACAGAGCTTTGGACCAGCTTCTGCTGGTGAGAGAGACAAGCTTATACGCTTACACAGAGCTCATCCTCAGGACAGTAGGCATGTTAATCATTTTAGAGATGGAAATGGCACCGAGGGACAGTAGGCATGTTAATCATTTTAGAGAGGGAAATGGCACCGAGGAGTAACAGACTTGTCCAAAGCCACATAATGTATAGAATGTCAACAAAACACAGGAACAATCATCTCCAATTCCCTGCTTCAGCAATGAGTTTACATTTACTTCCAAGGCAGTCATTTATTTCAACGGTGCTATGAACATTAGAACTACAGTATTATATCACAGCAGACTTGGTTGTGGTATAACTAGCACTGGGCCCCGTCTCCTGACATACCAGACTCAAAGCCAGTTCATCTAATCCCATATCTTGTCTCCTGCAATAGCAGACAGGCCATTGGGTCTGGTATGCTCCCTTGGGTGTCCATCTGATGCTCTTAGGAGGTAGTTTTAACTCCCACATTCCACTTTTCCGATTGCATAATTTTGTACAAGGGCGAACACAGGTTTAACCATCAAAGAAAAACTAATATTTAAACAAAGCACTTAACTTTCACTTGCCTCTTCAAAAGAATGAGGAGGAAGTAAAGCAGGTTCTACCACATAGCACAGAATAAGTGACTACTTAGGGCACAGTAACGGGGGGCAGCAAGGTGATTGGGTCTGATTCCCCTTGAACTGATGTAAACTACGAATTCTGAAATCAATGGATCTACTCCATGTAAAACCAGTCTGGGACTGAGAATCAGGCCCTTAGTGTTTATCATCTTTTAAAGAGTGACTGGGTGGGTTTTCTACTTGTCAACCAATAGACGTGGTGTTAGGCAAGAGAAGGACTGGGGAGTTGAACCTTGGTTGCCGTTTTCACTAATTTTCTGTGGCTGGCCTAAGTCTCGTGGGCACCAAGGGTCCTGTTTATTCTGAAGCACGGCAAGGCCCCAGCCCATGTCACAGCCAACTTTTCCTTCAGAATTGGGAAGGGAGTTTAAGATCCATTTGGCCTTCCTCAGTTTTCCTCTGAGACGAGACTAAGAAGCACTCCATGCCCTTGCGTACTTACTGGCCGAAGCAATCACTGTGTCTGTTACATTGGTAAGGTCCAAAAGGAGGGTAGGAAAGGCAGGGTGCAGGAGGTAGAGGTGGTGTAGTCCTGGGCGCTTGATTCTTAGGCCAGGTTCCTATTGGAAAGAAAGGCAGAAAATGGATGCCTACATCTTCCACAACAACCCTGCTTGGGAAGGAGTCCTCCTTTCTATCTTACACTCACTGGCACGGGCTACAGAAATCATCCATGAACGGTTGCTATGAAAAGCTCAGTTCTTTTCCAGGGTGGGCCCTCCGGCTCCAGAGAGAACCAGTCACACCCGGGGTCTCTCCCACAATGCCTTTCTCTCAGCAAGTCTCCCCTATGACTGCACAGCTCTTCCACAACTGCCGTCCCCAAATGGAAGAAGCTCTTTCCCAATATGAAAAGGAGACGCTGGAGGATATCTAGCGCAATGTGTGAGCCAAGTCAGCTTCTCTATGAACTGCTGCCAACAAAGGAGATAGGGAAAACAGAGAGACACTCTGAGAACCCCTCTCTCCTCCAGCCAGGGAAAGGTAGTGAACTGGCCAAGGGCCTGGGACCACTGCTGTGAGGCAAGGGGGTGGCAGGTGAAACTTTGCAAATGCTACAAGAACTAGCACAAGTGGCCAGTAGGCAGGGACCAGTGTAAGCCCAGCTCCTAAGAGAACAAGTCCTGGAGCAACTAGAATCCCTTCTTCAGAAAGCAAATTGTCCACAGGCTCCTGTAGGCTATATCCTGTCCTGACATGTGGCTCTGTAGAAGCTGCAAGGCAGCAGTTATCAACTTCTTTTGGCTAAAACCCCTTTTGTGAGGCATTCCCCCTTCCATCCCCATGTCCCTTCACGTCATGTCCTGCCACATTTCTTCTTTCTTTTCTTTGGACTCTCTGGTCTTTTCCCACCTTCTTGTCTATTTTTGAGTATTTTTAAACTTCTATTTGCTCTTGTTCTTTTCCTCCCTTGTCACCCTCCATCTCACTCACCCACCATCCAGAAAGCTACATTCTCTTGGGTGTTGTCCTCCACTGGTGGCTCCCAGGCTGCACCTGCTCTTGCAAGCTTGCTGAACAGCAGAAAAGGGGTATGTGGCTTGTTAGGCTGCTCTCTGAGCTTGTTCATGTGAGCTCTTCATGGGGCTTTCTCCATTAAGAACTGTCACAGGCGTGTGTGATGGCCCCGGTTTTGATCCAAGATCATGCAGCTTTTTTTTGACTCTACTAGTTCTCCCTTCTACACTGCTTTCCATCCTCCTGGGCCAGTCTAGCAGCTGCCTGTGAAGCTGTGGAATGCTAGTATAAGCTTTTATAGAACCTACACTGTGGTGTTCCTAGAGAATGCATGTTTAGCTGAACTTCACACACTCCATGTACAAGAGTTCTGGGCTTAGGAAAACTGTACTTTAGGAGACAGCCCACTGGCACTCTGTCCCAGTGGAACACAGGCTAGTAAAGGCTTCTGCAGCATCCCACAAAACTTTCTCACTGCTTTCTCTACTAGAGAAAACACTGCAGTCATTAGCTACAATCACCAGGTTAAGAGACTCAATTGCTATTGACAGTTACCACAGAATTTAGAGAGAAGGCTTAAAGGCCTGTGTGACAAGATGTAGGGACAGTGCAGGGAAGACAAGGGTTAAATCCAGGCGTGGGAGAGGGCAGGGGCTATAGAGCAAGCAGTTGTGGTAGATATTAGACAATCAGGGCCCAGCTGAGCACAGTATAAAGGCTCCTGGAGGGGAGGAAAGACTTGCTCACTCTTGCTCCAACTGTGGAACAGGAGGGACCTAGCTTCCAAGGAAGCCAGAGCTTCCCCAGCTCTGCCTGCCTTTCTCCAGCCCTGCTTTGTGTCAGGAAGGCTCTTGTTTCCCACGCTGCAGTGTCTGAGGCAAGGCCTGAGGGTACCAGGGCTGCAGGGAAGCAGCCAGGGCAGCAGGTCCACACCCCCTTGCTGATGATGAGTGGCCATTTCAGACTGCAGTTTGCCACTGAGGTAAGGAGCTGGATGACGACTGGCAGAAGGGTCACTGAGGCAAGGTGGATATCAAGGATTGGGGATTCCCTGACCCCAGGATGTGGGGGCACTGCAGCAGGGCAAGACCCAAAAGGGAGAGTGCTGCAATCTGAGAGGGACACAGGCCCTAATGTAAGGTGGCAGAATCACTAACACATAAACTTGATACAGCGAATGAGACACCGGCTGGAAAGGGGCATTCCAGGGTTGAATTGAGCTAATTCCCCAGTGACCAGCAGCAGGCACCCTGTTGGCGAGTCACACCCTGTTACAGTCTGGTATAGCTATTCTCTCCCTTCATTTAGATAACATGACAACAGTTGACTTTTCCAGACTTGAGGAGGATGATCTCATTACATTATTCCTCCTTGTGTAGATGTGGGTGGGCATAATGCCATCTACACTAGGAGGAATTTCCTTCACTTCCTATTTTGTTCTCCCTCTTGGCCCACATACACTGTATTCCCACCTTGTCTTCGATGTCAAAAACGAATACTTGAGGAGTTGGATTACGTTCCACCTCATTACCAGTGACAGTGTAGATCTGAACTGCTGAACAGATATAGGGGAGCTCACATTTATATTACCTACAAAAACAGCAGCTATTTATGGGACAACATTAATAATATAGTAGTAGATTTAATAACAGACTGTGTGTGCGTGGACACACACACATGCGCGCGCGTGCATGCAATTCAGAATTTAGATCCAAGAGGCCACCTCATCTCACCACTCATTCCACATGGAAGGTTTTAAGTTCGGTAATATTGTAACTGAGGGAAAAAATAAGAAAAAGGGGAGAGACTGAACATTTGTCAGGCAGAAAGCTTCCAAGTGGGAACAGGACTCTCACTTACCAAGTTTTGTAATTCAGGCTGCATTTCATCAGCCCAGAAAAGAAAAACAGATTTCCTCTCCAAAGTCATCACTGACAGTACATCAGATTCCTGCAGGTGACACGGGAGATCATAGCTCCAAATAGAGAGGCCTGATTTACCATCTACTACCAGCATCTGAAAAAAGGGAGGGACACTCAGTATGAGTCATGGAAATGAGGAGAGACAGATGATTATGGCAGAGACTTGGGACCTTACTGCTAGCACATATCCTGCCCTCTCTCCTGTCCCACCACAGTATCCCCAAGTGTTAGCTTTTCCAGGATTTACCTTTTTCAAATTGTCTCTGCTTTGAGCCTGCACCATGAAGTCCAGGGTTTGGTCAGCACTGAAATAGCCAGGGGCAGGCTGGCTGTAAATAATGAGAAAGTAACAGTGACCAGAAAAAGCAACAAACACAGCAAGACAGAGCACCCACTTTTAGGTAATCTTTCCCTGATTGACACTCATCCCGCTTCTGCTAACACAGGATTTGCCAAACCAGATCAGACCTTTAAATCCACCAAGCACAGTCCTTGACTGGTAGCAACCATTCACCAATACATCAGAGGAGGGAAAATAACCAGAGTGCTTCTAAGTAATTATTTGGTGCCATAAACATAGGGAGAAATTCCTGGCAGATTCATATGATAATCAATTTACCAGAAGGCAGCCTGACATTTTATTACCATTTCCTTAGCATGCACAACTACACTTTTGTATTAAGTCATAAAATTATCTAGACAGTCTAAAATCCATCAGCAGTTTTTGACTGTTTGCCGGTCTGCAGGAGTAAGTTTCACAGACTGATTATATGATGTGTGGAGCAGCACTGCTTATAAATATAACTACCATTAATTTTATCATATTACTCCTTGTTCCCTTATTATCGATCAGTGAGTTAACTAAACTCTTCTTAATCTTAATAGTTCAGTTCGACTCTTCACTCTTCTCCTTCTATGCCATATAATTCTCGATTTGAATCTCTATCATCATACATAAATTCCTGAGTTTGCTAACCATCTTGCTTGCCTCTCTGCCTTTTTGAATATGAGTTCTTTCTTTCTTAAAGTGGACAGCTCTGGACAAAATGTTCCAAATAAGAACATTTTTCAATATATCATCATCACAATCTGTTCTGTATTTGCTTATGCCCTTTGCTTATGCTTTTTCACTGCCTCTGATCCCAGTGGCAGAAATCTTTAAACTAGCATCAATATTTCTCAAGTTATTTCCTTTGAAGGACCCTGTATCTCTGAAGTATATTGACATAAACAAGAAGTGGAGACTACTTTTTGCCTGGGCATATTACTATATACTTATTTAAGGCAAATTTTCTTTCCCATCAAGATTGCTGATTTCCTCTGTGGATTTGAATTCATCTGTAGTTTCTCCCAAACTGAAAACATTTTAGCTATGCATCAGTCAACATCAACTCTCTTTTCCAAATTAGTGGTTTAACAAACCAATTCAGCCACCACGTTCATTACTAGGCTAGCTTGCTATTAAACCTTCTCTCCTCTGAAAATTTACAATACAATTTTCAATTGCTTAACCAATTTCTATTCCACCAGACTGTGTCCCATACCTTCTGATTACTGATATTCCTTTAAGATCTTAAAGGATCTTAATAAAAAAATTATTTGAAAATCCAATAAAATGACATCGGACAGGACACCTTTATCAGTTATTGTATTTTGTTGCATTTTTCCAAAAGGGAAAGATTGTCCCAAACAGAACTTGGGAGGGTTTGACACTAATGAATGCCACTTATCCAATTGTACTACTAGTCTATCCTTAAACCTTATCTATGCTGGGAAGTTGTGCCGATTCCAGTTACCAGTGTAGCTGCATTTGTACACAAACTCTAATGTGAACAGGCAAAGCACTATAAACTGTGGAGCTTGTCCAGGATGGAACCTGGGGTACGATCTGTGCTGGTCTGGCTTTACTGGCAGTTGTAATCGGCACCAATCTCCAATGAAGATAAAAGCATTGCCATCACTATCCCCAGCAGCGACGTGAGGCTTCCCAGGCTGTCCCCAACTTCCTCCTCAGAATCCTCCTTTGTTCCTCTATCCAAAATTCTTTAGCCCTCAGGAATAGGCATTGGGCATAAATATTGCATGTCTGATACACCATCCATCCTGCCATTTCATGTGTGTCACTTCCTGGCACAGCTTGTACTTCGCACTGTGTTGTTTAAGCATGATTTTTATGTATTAAATGACACTCTTTTAGCTCTCAAACTCATCCCTTTCTCTATCTTATGATGCATGTTTTATTCTCAGTTTTACTCCTTGTAACTGCCCACAGAGGAAAAACAGCCCCTCTGGGCCTTTCCCACAGTTCTGTACAGGCTGCAAGATGATTCTATGATGTAACTATTTTTCCATCTTTGTCTTTCATTTCATCTTTATCATTTTCCTGCATAAGTTTTGCAATCTGACAGTTTCAAAGTAATCACTGTGTCCTCATTGGGATCTTGCCTTCTATTAGGATATCACAACCATTAGTCCAGTGCTCACTGCAATTAATGAAGATTCTGCACTTGTCTCTTGTATACATTTCTGCCTGCTAGTTAACATTAAGTTCAGAGTTGTTTCCACCTTTCTTGGTATCAAAACAAGTTTCTTGTTTATGCTGTCAGTAAATGATTTCTGTCAACCCCCTCTAAGGTGTGCACCTTCACGGGCGTACACCAAGAATTTGAGTCCTGCCCACCTCTTCAGCAGAGTTGCGCAGTAGCTGCTCAGCTGCTCCGGGGCAGGGTCATGTGGCTGGGTAGCCACCATGTGGCCCCAACTCCAGCTTCACCTCTTCCCCAAGGCTGGAGCTGTGGCCAGGGAGGGCTGCATGGCAGGCAGCAGCTGCTCCTGCATCAGGAGTTGTGTGGCGAGCGGCAGCTGCTCTGGCAGCTGGGGCCTCGAGCCACGTGGCAGGCGGCAGCTGCTCCAGTGGCAGGGGCTGGGGTCAGAGCCACATGGCGGACGGCGGTTTCTCCGGCAGCCAGGGCTGGGGCCACAGCTGCATGGCAGAAGGCAGCTGCTTTGGAGTCCAAGACTGCATGATGGGCAGCTGGGGCCAGGGCCCAGCCGGAGCTGCATGGTGGCTGCTCTGGCAGCCAGGGCTCTGATGCAGCAGGGGGGTGCCAGGGAGTTGCTGTGGCGGGGGATCAGATTGCTGTTCATCTGCCATCATCGCCGGCAGAGGGGTATGGGAGAGAGCAGGCATGAATGATGCTGGAGACATTAGGCCTTCACCCCAGCCCTCAGGTGAGTCTCCTTTCCCTGCTGCTTCAGGACTGGGGAGCTTTCCTGAGGGGAAGGTGCATCACGGCGCTGCTCAGTGCTCTGATGTCACTGCGGGCTCGCCGCCCCAGGCCCACTGCAGCCCATGCACTGCTGCCTGCCATTTGTCCTGCTGCTGCTCTGCTGCCCTGTGGAGGTAACCAGTGCAGGGACCCAGCCAGTAGGGGTGGGGCAATGTTGACTCCCGCAGCAGCCACTGCCCACCACGTGGCTCTTTTAGCTTCCGCCACCATTGAAAAGAAGCAAAAAGAGCACCCTGCCCCCGATTTTGCCTGGCTGTGCCAGTGGGTGTCCATACCATTTGTGCAGCATTATGCAGTGTGGCCATTTTATACTCCAGTGGCACAAAGGTACCCTAAAGGCAGTGCTCTCACTTCTCTACTTGGGTATTACCCCCAGTGTAGGTAGGGGACTCCCTATCTTGCTTAGAGCCAATGAAATGGCTCTGTGGTGTCCCTCCCTTCCAAGCTCGTGAGCTAGGGGCATTCTGGAGGAAAACTAGAACAGTGCTGCATTGTGCTTATTCTTGGCCTCCTATGACTTCTATGGAACTGTGGGCAGTGCAGACTTACAGCAGCCTTGAGGCTGCTCTAACATACACCAGCAGCTGGACTTGCTTCTGGCTAGATGGAAAATACAGAAGGCACAAAGGGAGCTTAGATACATCTTTCACTCTTTCAGCGTTCCTGCATTCATGCACTGTGGCCATGCCTTGGTATCCTAATAGAAGTTGAGAGATGCTGTAGTTCAGACTTTTCTGCTGGATCTCATACTTCTGATATTGCTAGCAAACCCTCCAACATCCCTTTGGTGTTTTGAATTCCGACAGTAATCACAGGACTAGAAGGGAAATCATCTAGTCCAGAAGGGCAAGGGTCTGGGAGAGGGCTATAAACAGAGGAAGTTGGCTACTGAAAATTTTGCGGTATTAATTTTCTTTTTATTTGACTTCATATTAGATAAACATTTGAAGTCATGCACCTTGTTAATTATCCCTTATTTTAGTATTCTTTCTTCCTTAACAGTGTAAAATATATATATATTTTTGTTAATAACCTGGGTGCCACGGTGGCACACATTCGAACAAGCGCACATGACCTCAATACTGGGGCTCAAGACAAAACTCACTCCATTTATAGATGGAAAATCTTAGCGGGAACACTGCTGCCAACTAAGCACAGGTATACATTCAATCAGTTAATACTGGGGTGGCTGTCATGTCCTGTTATTGTCCCACAACATTTTGCAGCTTCCTTAGGTTCTTTGAATGAAATATACCTCTGTGCAGAGGGCCAGCACAGAACATATGCGCCATCATCTTGAGGGCTTAAGTGCTGCCCAGACCACATGCTGGTTTCTTGCACTGGGATGAATTTCCCCCTTTCAACTCACTAAGATGTATGCTACTCAAACTATTCAATCGGTCCCTTTCTTCCATTCCTTTTTCCTCCAGTTATTCCCTCCCCTCCCCTTCCCACAGCGCTCTCTCTCTCTCTCTCTCTCTCTCTCTCATATCCCCACAAGCTTGAGGAATAATTCCAGGCTATACCCACCAGAGCATGTGTGCCGGGAGGAGAGAGACAGAAAAAGGACACACAGAAAAAACCAAAGTGTAACTAACGTGTGAATGTCCTGCTGCTCCAGATTCCAGCGGGGCTTCAGGTCCTCTCCTCGCAGCAGAGTCAGGCTGTGTTTTGTGGTGATGAGGAGGTCGCTGCAGTTGGTATCTGAAGCTGTCACTATCTGCAGGAACTCAACGCCCCCACTACGAGAGGCAGAAACCTGACATGAGGCAATTGGGTTTCCCAGGTTTTGTTTGCTTATTTAAATAAAAACAGTCAATGCCGAGCTCTAAGCACTTTTGAATATGAGAGACTCTAATCCACAGAAGTTTGGGTTCTAGGGTTTTTCCTGTGACTGAATCCCCACTTCACTCTCCCATCTAAACTGGGCCCTGCTACTTTCTTGCCTTGTTCCCAGCCACACTGAAGAATTTCTCAGGTCCTGCTGAGCAGTGATTCACTGCATGGTGAGTGAAGAGACTCTAGGGGTTACATGATCCCAGACCACTCTGCTGTCCACCGAGTTGCTAATTTGGACTCATTATTTAGAAACATGCCTTTTCTAAGGGCAGGCATGCTTCCCTGGACATATGGTTGTAACGGGGGCTCAAGGGCTCAGAAGAACAAGCGGTTCTCTTTATAATACATTGTATTTGGCCACTGCAATCACTGGGACAGTGGAGGAAGTTGGAGTTCTTTATGTCACAGGCATTGCCCCGGCAACTCTGGTGGACAGAGATATTCGAAGGGGAAGGGGAATGGCCAGCAGTGCCCAGGTAGAACCACAGCATAGCCTGAATGGTGAGAGCACACCCCACCTGTAAATGTCAATGAGCTCCGATAAGTTGACAGATCTGCGCTTCTCCCACTCTGACTCCTCCTGCTGCAGAATAGGAGGGAAGCTGTCACGGTTTCTGGCTTGGGCAAAGATATCCCTCAGGGCGACTGCCTGGACATTACCTAGCAGATATGTGACAGGGAGAGCAAAGACTGAGATTCTCACTTGTAGGATGAGTCCTGACAGCATAAGAGTCAGAGACTACTTGCAGGTGGATAGCAATCAATAAAAGCAGGAGGAGAGTCTTGGCCTCTCCCAGCAGGATATAGTGAAGGAAGAGGTGCAGGAGCAGCAATGAGGAGATCCAAGCCACTCCAGCCCTAGGAGTTGCGAGCAGGTATCTGTGTTTCGGTGCTGTTCCATACACTGACTGTGCAAAGAGCCCATCTTCTCCAACCTCAGCCTTCACCAGTGGGAGGGCTGGTACCAATGTCCTGGCAGAACTCATAGCTATTCCAGCTTTAAAGTGCCTTAGAAAAAGATCAAATGGAAGTGGCAAAAGTGGCCCATCTTACCAAAACCAAACAGGATATAGATGGCTCCTCGACTGGTAGTGTGGGCTTGGGGACCGATCAGTTTTCCTTCTCCATTGATGCTGTACTTCACGGGCCCACCCAGAGGTTTTCCCGTCATGCCCGATACCAGGATAAAGCATAAGTCTGGCTGCAAAGGTTAGAAAGATGCAAGGAATTCTGGGAGCTGTCTCTCACACAGTGAGAAGCCGCTTTGCCCCAGAATGAAAAGCTCTGTCATTCCCTCCCCACACAGCAGCATATATCGGGTGACAAATCATTTGACATCTTTCTCCTTCCCAGCCACCTTCTCTATTTGGTTTCCCACGTGAGCTAATAGTCTTGGTCTAGCGCCGTATGTTAAGATGTCCTTGTCAGAAAACCCCTCAACATTCTGGGCAGAGGTGCCAGTGAATGAATGTACTTCGGATCCTGAACTCCCCCATCAAGCTTAAAGGCAGTACCTTCTAAGTCACTGTGCAGGGAGCAGCACAGGGAAACTTTGCACCATTATTGTCAGACAAGGACTTCTCTTCTATAGCTAAGCCCATTCTCCAGGGTTGTCAAATAGTCAGCTTTCACTAGCGCTAAAAATTCACATTAAAAACAAAAGCAGTAATTGCTAAAGAGAGACGCACAGGAAAAAGTGAGTGAGTCTCTCATGTCTCAGTCAGTGAGCAATGATTAATTCCACAATGACATTAATTTGCCAGCTGATAAATAGGGATGTAAGCACCTAGTCCACTACCCGATAAGCAAATGCTTATTGGGTAGCAGAGCAGGAAATTGACTAGTCGCTTTTCCCCCACCCTCCTCCCGCCTTGCCTCTATCAGAGAGAAGTAGCAAGGTGGTGGAGCAGGAGCCGGTGCTGGGGGGAGCCAGCTTAAAAGCCAGATCCCGCCAGCACTGTCTCCACAGAGGGCAGGGGAGGCAGAGGGCAGTTGGAAAACAGCATGAACAGGTACTGAAACAGTGCCGTTCATGCCTGTCCCGACTGCTACTCCTCACCCTTTGAGATGTACAAGAAAGGGGTGCAGCAGGATAGCGAGCACCTCCCTTACTGACTAATCGAGCAGTCGATGGAAATTCCATCGACTACTCAATTAGTTGATTAATCGAAATTTAACACCCCTACTGATAAAAAAATGACAATGTAATTACTACTTGATTCTGTGCTGCAAAGCAGGAGAAAGAAGCCAGGTTTGTACCTAAAAGGAATATGAGGTAAGGATACTACTTGGATGTGCCATTCCGCCACTACACTCAGTTTAGACCATGTCCCTGCTCCCCCTCCAAAGATTCAGGTCCATTCAGAGCTCTTGTGTGGATGTATTATACCTGGGTCTCTCCGATAGCCAGAACTACCAAATCTCCAACTTTATCCCCATCCAAATCTGGCAAGAGGACAGCTGGTGCAGCCAGGGTCCCACTCGGCAGGTGGGCTGGGTTCAGTGTCCAGATGGTTTTCCCTAAAGGAGGAGAGAACATCTGAGCAGTGCAGCACTTCAAGAAGGTAGAATTCATCTCAATTCCCAAGGTGTCTTACTAACCAACCCTTCCTGAAGGAGGAAGAGAGAGAAGGCATTACCACCCAACAGGATGAGTACCAAACCCAACCTAGAGCAGGCAGCCATGGAATTCATACCCAGCAGAAAGAGGGATTATTCTTTCCCATTGCTTTGAAATGCTCTTGAGTTAGTCTGCAAATGCTTCGTTTTATTAGCATTCTGGCATCTCTATCCGGGCCTAATTCCAAACCTGCAACACAACTGTCAGGATCAGGTCCTAAATAAGAGAGAGGCTTTTGCAGGACACCAGCTGTCCTAACTGGCCAATGGTAAAGCCTGATGGATGATGTCACAGATAGGCAGACACTCCCAGGGAAATCAACAGATGGGAACTCATATCTGGAGGCACAGATATTGGAAAAGGAAATCTGTGTCTTAGTTAAACTTCCAACAGGAAACAGCCCCATTGCATCTTCATCCTCTCCACAGAGGGGATAAAGGCATATGATTTTAAACACAGTTTGTCAGTCCAGTAAGGGACCTGAGCAGGTGCCCAATAAATAAGAATTCACACATTTTTCTATTCATTATTCATTAATGATTAGATCATCTTCTGTAGTACTCTATAGTTTTCTTTTAGCTATGGACTTCTTCCTAAGTTGCTACCATCAGGTGCTGAATTATTCAAGGAGGTCAGTTCATCCACACATTTATGCCTGGAACTACCTGAGGAGGCATGGAGAAGGCTGAGGAATTTGGATGTTCCAGTCACAAGGCAGACAGGCTCAGCTGGGGCTGCGAGAGTCAGTCCTTTACACTGCACACTCCGAATCTCTTCTGGAATGTGGCTGGACCAAAGGGTGCTGCCATTCATGCCCGAAAGGGCCATCACAGTTACCGATGGCCTAGAAACACCTGCAGACACACAAAAGGGAAGTGAAGTCCCTTGCAATCAAAGGAGAGAGATGAACAAGGTACAGTTATCTCAGGGGGACATGCTGTTCAGTTATGCTTCTACTCTGTGCTGTGCTCAACTGGAAAAGAGTAAAACAGTCACATTCACAAGAATCCCATGAGTTTGGTTATTTCAGTCCCTTGCTAGCTCACAGGAACTGCCCATGGAAACTTGTGAAGCTACGTTTCTGTGCTTGGATGGCAAACAAACATATTATTTGCCCTACCCAATCAACCACAGGTCTATTCACTTCATCATCCTATCTGCTGTCATACCAGACTAGACTATTGTTCCTTTTAACACTTATCCTTCTGCTGGCCAAAGGTTAATGCTTACAAGAAGTTGCAATTACCATTCTCTTAGGTAGCTGGCTAGTTAGGCACAGGGCCCTGCATGGTCTGTGATTCTGTGGCAGAAGAATTTGGCTCCGCAATCTGAGCTTTTTCCTTTTCGGTAAAAAAAGGAAAAAAAACGTCCCCCCATGTTTCTAGCCTTAGATATTGTGGAAAACACCTTGAAAACATACAATCAGTGTCAAACAGTATAATGTCTTCCTGAGTCAGCAGATAGCACAAAATAATAGCTAAAATGAGTATGAAGAGCCTCAATTTGTTTTAATCAAATGCCTAATGATAAGTTTAATGTCAGCCTAACATCAGACACTCTGTTAATCACTTTAACAGAAATATCCAGCCAATGTGCTTATGTCGCAACCACAAACTCGCTCCCTGCATCTTCCAAGGTGCTAAGAGTCCCAAAGGTATCTTATCCAGAGGGCCTCTCCCTAACAGCATCACTAACTGTGCAGTTAGTTCTCCCTCCTCCCCTATTTGTTTTGGGTCTGCACATCCTAAACTCAGAATTCTAGTCATCTGAGGAAGTGGGCTGTGCCCACGAAAGCTCATGATACCATCTACATGTTTTGTTAGTGTAGAAAGTTCTAAGAGACTATTCGTTGGTTTTTTAAATTTATCCTGTACAGACTAACTTGGCTACCCCCTGAAGCTTCTGTGCAGTTAATGTGAGGTTAGTACAAAAATCTGCTTCCTGCAAAAACTGAAATTCAATACCTTCACAATTTTTAATTTAAATTAATCTACCATCAGATTTTCTATCTGCTGCACCAGAATCCCTTGGACTCCAGAGACCCTGCTGTGGAATTTACATCTTGCTTGTAATGAAGTACATGGGGCCTTTCTTACGCAGCCCTATGCCATGGGGACGGGAAATTTTCCTTCCTATCTGTATTCATATTACTCCAACCATTGCAATACTCAAGCACCATAGATTGCCAACACAATCCAATAAAATGGGCCCTGACTCCCTGACTGTGCTTCTGGGATTGGAACATATTTCACGTCACTATGAGGTGAAGACAGGCTGTGGAGATGCACTGAAACGGCAGCTGGGAAGCTGTAGAAACATGAATCTTGGAGCAGTGGGAAAACAGCAGGACTTAGTGACAAGCCAAGTTATTTTGATGCTTCTGATGTGTTATCCCATGTGTTCCCAGGCAAATGTTAGCAAAGAAACGAGAAGCAGCCTGCTGAGGTTGATGGGACTGTTTCACATTAAAGAGCTTGGTGCAGTAACATTACCACTGTCAATCAATATATCAGCTGGGATTTTCACAGCAGAAGTGAGCTGTTTTATGGAGAGGTCTGAAAGAGGACAGTACGGCAGCTCTGCAGATGGTATGGGGAACTCCCATGCATAATGGTTGACAGGGAGAAAATACAAAAACAAAATTGGACAACCTGACAAAAGAGCCATCGAGGTTGGAATCCCTGATGAAGTGAAGTTGGCAGTTGTGAAGACGTGGGTTGCGCCCACAAAAGCTTATGATACTATTTATATAGTTTTGTTAGTCTCTAAGGTGCTACAGGACCATTCTTGTGTTTTAAGTTTTTTTAACATCTTACCCAATACGCTAGCATTCATCAGGCCTGTGAAGGAAAGCAGGATGTCCGGGAGCCCATCACCATTCACATCCGAGAGCTCCAGTGGGAACAGCAACCCACCTGTGACATTCAAAGCAAATAAGGAGCTGCTATCAGAATGGCTGCCAATCCCATTCTGCACCATGGAGAAGAGAACAAGCATGAAAGAAAAGGGGTCTGAATAACCAACCATCAAGGAATCCAGAGAAGACCCACTGAAGCGGTACTGCTCCCCCAGCTATGTCCCTCCCCATACAGCACTGCACAGGCCTGTTTGTGGCCTCAGAGCACTTGCAGTGAAGGGGTTTAAAGTTGCTGCTCCTCTTCTCTAAAGTGACTCTTCCAAGTGAGTCTTTCCCCCACACTGAGCCTGTGAGCTTCGCCCTTCCAATCTCACACTGCTGCTGTGCCCAATGGTCTCTCACCTGCTTCCTGACCGAGGTTGCGGTTCCAGGTATTATGCAAATCTCTAGGAGGACAGGGAATGAGAAAGGCGCACACCAGCACCAGGATCATGGAGATAACCATGGTAAGCAAAAAGACTGCTGTGCGTAGGTAAGGCATCAGGGAAGAGGCTGCCTTGTGCTCCAGACTGCCAGTGGCTTCGGCAGGGTACCCATCTGGGGCACTTTCCGACAGCCGCTGCTTTGTCACCTCAACCTCCACGTCCGAGTCTGGGTCCTGCACTTCTTCCAGGGCACTCTTCCCATTCTTGACTCCCCCATTCTTCTGTAAGTTGAGTACAAGGTCATCTTCACTTTCATCACTGTCAGCCTGAGTGAGAGGGTCATACTCCCCTAGGTCCGGGCTCTTTTTCCCTGAGGAGAGAAATGGGGAGAGTCAAGCATGGCTGGCGGGAATGGCAGAAAGACCAAGCTCTCTGTGCTTTCAGATCCCACAGAAATGAGAGTGTGAGAGAGAAGACAGGATGCCTTTGTCTACACTCAGGTCATGAGTGTGGTTGGAAAGGATGAGGTATAAGTGGAAAAGCAGGGTCAATGCTTATCCACCAGATCTCAGTGAGATGCTACCAAAAAAACTCAATTCCAACAGTTTAGTTTCCCAAGGTAAAAAAAAACAAAAACAAAAAAAACCACCTCAAGGATTTGCTTAATTTCCTCTAATGCTCTCTGGGTCTGTAATGAGAAACAGTTTTGGAAGGATTAGAGTCTCATTGGCATATGTCAATAAGCGCTGATTTTATTGTACACAACAACCCATGAAAAAATATTTCCATTCATAATAATTAACATTTACAGAGAGAGAAAGTAAGAAAAATTCTACTTGTGAACTTACTAGAGTTTGATTTAAGGATACTTATACCTTGTGTATTTTTAAATGTGATGTTCAATTTGTATTTGAATAACCAGTCTTAACATCTAGTGTCAAACAATTAGTGATGAACACCTCACTACTGTCAGATCTCCCTATAATGTTGCATAACTGTGAAAATGTAAATTGATAATAACATCAATGTTTAAGCATTTTTATCTGTCAACATTTAAAGAAAAATAAAAATTGAATTCTGCCAAGATGCCTTATCTTCATGCTTAACTCTCTGCGTGCCTAAGTCCTAGACTGTCCTCTTAGCAATCTTTTAATTCAAAGCTCTAATCATGTAGAACCTTCCTCAGTTGCTCGCCTTTGTAGTGTATCCAAGCAGGGTCCTCTTTCTCTCACCTTTTATCTCCTCCTCCTCCTTGATCCACTCAGTGATGTCACAATCTAAGTTTCTCTGACATCATAGTTGCTTCCATGGGAACAAGCTGTGATGCCACATGCTAAACTTGTGCCCCAAGGTGTTTAAAGGAACACTTGAAAGATATAAATACTATATAAAGTGGAAATTGCAGAAACGTGTATTATATGATAAATGGGAATGATTCAGAGGAGAAATGAGAAAGTTTTAGGTTCCCATGATAACGGTAATTCAATCATACTGCACTGAAGTAGTTGTTCCTATTTCTGTTTTTCTCTTTAAATGTACAGCTTAGTACATAACTGTTGTATTGTTAAATGTATAAAATATCCAGAGATAGCATTGCAGCAGCCAAACTTCGAATTCTTCAGTTTGGAAAAATGTTAGCAATTTGAGCAGCCTAATCAGTAATCTCTCTCCCAACAATAGAAATGTTGCAAGTGTACCTGGAATATCACAAAAGAACCTTCACTTTTTCTTTTCTTATGCTTGAAATAGTAACTTTAATGTAAACTATCCAATATTTGTAATGTAAAGAAGACAACACAGTTAAGTCTCATTGAGTCCTTAACTGCTTCACTATAAATGGAAGCAGACTTAACTAAAGCAATGGTCACCAACCAGTAGGTCGGGACCTACTGGTAGATCTTGGAGCACCTGACAGGTGATCCTGACTGTTTTGGCCAAGAGGCTGTCAAGTGCCAGCACTTCAGCTGCTCTTCCCTAAACTGCTGCACACCTCCTGCCCTTTGCCTTGGAGCTGACACTTCTGGAGCTTCCTGCTGGCAGGCATGGCAGGGAGAGGAAGGGGTGCTGATGTCACGGTGTGCCCCTCCAACCCTGTATCTTATCTACACAGAGCAGAGATGGGGCACAACAGGACTTGGGATAGAGTTTGCTGGCTGCTTTTGGGAGTGGTGCAGGGCCAGGACAGAGGTTAGCTTGTCTTAGCCCCTCTGCACCAATACCCAGGTGCCTCCTGAGGTAAGCAGTGCCCAGTTGGAGCCAGCTCTGAACCCCTGCCCTAGTCATGAAGCCCTCGTGCACTCCAAGCCTCTGTCCCAGGCTCAGCTCAGAGCCCCTCTCACACTCCAAATCCCTTAGCCCAAGACCAGAGCCTGCAGCCCAACCCTCTGCCCCAGCCTGGTGAACAAGTGAGGGGCAATGGAGGAGGGAGGGAGAATGGAGTGAGCAGGGGCGGGGCCTCGGAGAATGGGCACAAAGGAGGCAAGACAAGGGTGTTTGGGGTTGAGATAGATCTTGGATTGCACTTAAATTAAAAAGGTGATCTTGTGCTTAAAAAGCTTGGAGACCACTGAGCTAAAGCAACGTTCTAGGGACATAGCAGGGCTGCTCTAGTTGAGGCTGCAACTCAACTTCATTTTAAAGGTTGATCTTTCTAAGTCCTCTAAAATCTGTTTCATCAGCTTTCTTTAAAATCTGGCGTACCTCAGGAGAGTGCAGAGCAGGGATGTTAAATTGCGGTTATCTGACTAACTGTGTAGTTGATTTGTATCGACTACACGATTAATCAATAAGAACTGCTTTGCAGAGCCACAATGGGAGTAGTTCCACGAAACAGCTCGTGCTGGCTCCGCATTTTAAATGTAGTAAGAGCTGCCAGACTCTTACTAAGTTTAAAATGTAGAAGTGCAGCGCCTTGGGCCAGTGCGAGCTGGGACTACTTGGTCCTGGCTTGCACTGAGTCTAGCAACCCCTGTTCACGGCAGCCAGCCTTGTCCGCCACAAACAGGCGTTGCTCCAGCACCAGCCCCTGTTCATGGCAGCCAGGGCTGGCCATGGACAGGGGCTGCTGCCGGAGCACCCCTATTCACGGAGGTGGGGGGGCAGCTCCCACTGGGACCCTCATGGACAGCTGCCAGAGTAGCCTCTGCCCACAGAGAGCCTTGGCCAGCTGTGGGCAGAGGTTGCTTCGCAGCAGCCTCCCTTATCCCTCCCCGCTGCGTCTATCAAAGGCAGCAGGAGGGAGAGGGGGAAGAATGGACAGACACATGGCTCCTTTTTCCTCCCCCCACCTTGCTGCCTCTCATAGTGCAGAGGTGGGTTAGTGATCCAAATTTGGAGTCATTTGATGGAAGGATTTCTGACTTACAGGCTCTGCCAGAAACTCAGTTTCCTTCTGCTGCCTGATAATGTTAAACTGAATCACAGACCTAATTGAAACTGATGGCTATGAACTCATCCTTCAATTAACATACCTCAGGATAAATTAAGCACAAGCCTCCTCCCAAGAAGCTTTGGACTGAATGGCTAGAGATTGCTGCAATTTGAGAGTCACAGATGGCATTTTTAATTTGGAGGAAATATTATGGAAGTTTGAGGGAAAAAACAGGCATGTGAATGCTTCCTGGAAGAAGAGAGAATGGTAGGGGAAAGGGACTCGGGCTGCAGGAAAGAAAGGGAGATTATAGGGAGGGAACTAAATGAAGACAAGTGGTAGGGAACAATGGAGAGAGATTGGGGGCAATGTTCCCTCTAATCTTTTCCATCCATGCGTAGAATACTAGGACTGGAAGGGATCTTGAGAGGTCATCGAGTCCAGTCCTCTGCCCCCACGGCAGGACCAAATTCTGTCTAGACCATCCCTGATAGACATTTATCTAACCTACTCTTAAATATCTCCAGAGATGGGGATTCCACAACCTCCCTGGGCAATTTATTCCAGTGTTTAACAACCCTGACAGTTAGGAACTTTTTCCTAATGTCCAACCTAAACCTCCCTTGCTGCAGTTTAAGCCCATTGCTTCTTGTTCTATCTTCAGAGGCCAAGATGAACAAGTTTTCTCCCTCCTCCTCATGACACCCTTTTAGATACCTGAAAACAGCTATCATGTCCCCCCTCAGTCTTCTCTTTTGTAACCTAACAAACCCAATTCTTTCAGCCTTCCTTCATAGGTCAGAGAAGAGCAAAAAGAATGATAAAAGGTCTAGAGAACATGAACCCTCTCCAATTTCTCCACATCTTTCTTGAAATGTGGTGCCCAGAACTGGACACAATACTCCAATTGAGGCCTAACCAACGTAGAGTAGAGCGGAAGAATGACTTCTCGTGTCTTGCTCTCAACACACCTGTTAATGCATCCCAGAATCATGTTTGCTTTTTTTGCAACAACATCACACTGCTGACTCATATTCAGCTTGTGGTCCACTATAACCCCTAGATCCTTTTCTGCCATACTCCTTCCTAGACAGTTGCTTCCCATTGATTATTCAATTAGTTAATCTAAATGTAACATCCCTATCCCATATTTGGGAGTGAAAACTTCAGGAAAATATTTTCTTTGTTTGTGGTGGGGGTCCTGAGTATAGTAGTGGGTTAAAAGCTAGGCTGGAATGGGGAATGCAGCTAAAGGTCAGGGCATGGCTAGTGAGGTCTGGACTGGTAGTGTCTAACTGGTGTGAGAGTGTGGAGGCCTGCTGACACAGAATATAAATTGCAGGATGCAAAACTGCCTAAATAACTAACAATTCCTATTACCAGCATATCTTTTCCTGGTAAATAAAAACCTAGAAAAAATTAATGACAAATCTATCTGGAGGAAAACGTACGATTGCTTGGTGGTATATATTGTCCACTTACAGAATGCTGAATTTAGCAAGAATCAGAATTTCTAAAACACCAAAGCAACCTTCATTCTGCCTTCTTTCAACAATGCCCCAATACAGTACATACAGTACATACAAGTAAACACCTTTGAACAGCTGTTCCATCCTCTTTAATCAAACAATAGCCTATTGAGAACTACTCTGTAAATGGAAACAAAGCACTAGAGTAGATCTTCAGTTTGATAGAAGACCTTACCCTGGATTGATTAATTCTCAAAATGGGACCTTATAGGAACCATCACAGTCCTCATAGGCCAGTGGGGGAGAGCGATGTCAACTGCCTAGTGGGTTCCACTTCAAAGGTATGGGAGTACAAAGAAGCTGGTGAAACCTACCAGTAGGGAGGAGCCCGAGGTCAAGTCCCAACCACCAGTAGCTGGTGTACTAGTTCTGCTCCAGCGTTTTTCTGTGTACAAGCAATAGACACGAAGGTTGATGGGGCTGTTTCCCATTGGTTTAATATTGCCATCTTTATTGGCTCCACCCATCCTCTAGCACAGTGGTCCTCAATACGGTGCCCGCAGGGCCATTTGTGCGCGCCCGCCAAGTGCTCAGGGCTGGCCTGGCCCCGGGCACATGGTGCATGCATCGTGCCGGAGCCAGCCCGGGCGCATGGTAAGCGCCGGCCCCGGGCGCACGGCGCTTGGAGGGGGGGCGGAGGGGGGGCGGCGCTGGCCCCGGCACCCATCCTCTAGCACAGTGGTCCTCAATACGGTGCCCGCAGGGCCATTTGTGCGCGCCCGCCAAGTGCTCAGGGCTGGCCTGGCCCCGGGCACATGGTGCATGCATCGTGCCGGAGCCAGCCCGGGCGCATGGTAAGCGCCGGCCCCGGGCGCACGGCGCTTGGAGGGGGGGCGGAGGGGGGGCGGCGCTGGCCCCGG